AACTTGGGAAGAGGACCATGCAACTTTTCCATCTGTAACCTCAAATTCAAGCTTTTCTCTAACAGAACTAATATTTTGTCCTTCTGTCCCTCAACAGGCTTCCTTAGTGTCATCTAAATTATGGTTACCACTATTATCAACTTCTAACTTCTTCCATGAAGCTTTCTTCCCTTTCTAGCTTCTGCAGTACCAACAACTTCAGTTTTCATCAAAAAATTTCTCTCCCTAGCAAAATCTCTATTGTCAGCTTCCATGCTTCCTAAGTTCATAAGTATGAATGGGAAGCAAGAAAACAGGAAGTAGAGTGAGCTTTAGACCTGGTAACCATAGGATGATTCTACCACTGCCACTGTTAGTTACTCTGTTTCACCAAACTAAACCAGTGGTACTAGAATTCAAACTGCTGCAACATCCTAGTGAACAAAGGCTACTGTGACATGTATGCTCTGGTTTGCATAATCAGTGTGGCAACTATTTGTGGGAGCTATTTCTGGACAAATTTGATTTTGTCCTATCATAAGAAAAAGAAAAATACTAATTTAGCTCTGCTTTGATGACTGGTCTATCAACCTTCTCAGGACTGAATGCTTCATTTTCTCTTCTATTTTTTCTGGTTTTGGAGAGAGTATAAATATGTAATTAGATAAGCTGGATTCAAAACCTATCAAAGGTATCCTGTATATTCCTAATTTTCATAGCCACCATGGTGATTATTTTAAGGAGGACAAATCTCTTGGGACAACTGTTTTGGCATTTTTGGAACAAATGAGAAATAAACAAATTTTGTTATGCTTTGAATGCTTTTTCTTTCAATTGAACTTTATATAGTTTGCTTTCTCAGATCTTCTCTTTATTACCCCTTCCCATTTTACAGTTTTGTTGGAGGTGTCATTGAGTACCCATACATCTTTTCATATGTTGGAAATAAGTTTAACTCAGATTACTTTGGTGTCTCAAAAGGTAGTACAAAGATGTTAGAACTTTTCATATTTTCATGGTTCTCTCCGGAAAGAAATTACATCATTGATCAAGATAATTTTATAATGTCGACACCAAATATGAATACCATGGATAAAGCATGGATGTATTTGCCAGGGGAAAAATCTTTAGGAGGTGATAGATTTAGACATTGATTGTGTAAACTCACATTTAGGATTCATATAATCTAGTTCTTACACAATGAAATAAATAAATCTAATCTATATTTCATCTAGATTGATTATAGTCATGGGTGGAGCTATTTATCAAAAAAATAAAATAATCATGGGTGGAGCTACAGTATCAATAGTGGTGTCAAGGGACACCACTCTCTTGAATTTCCTTTTAAGTAAATGTAAAACTTTACCCAGAAGGACTAGTCTTACAGTGAAGAATAGATGTAATAATCAAAATTTACAATATATATATATAGATATATAGATATTATGTACCACATTAGTCAAGACTTGGGAATTAAATTCAATAAAATATTTCAATCACAAAAATTAACAAACAAACAAGAATATCATCAAATTAGGATTACAATTGGATTTAGGAAGACCAGAGAGGTACATGACTACGACGGTGACTCTGATTTTTTTTTTTTTTTTAAATTTTATTTGATTTTTTAAGTGAGCTGTCTAGAAGAGGGAAAGTTCTTGCCTCTTCTTACAAATGTGTGTGGATCAAAGAGAGAGAGAGAGACATGTTTGAAAGCATGTGTCAACAATTGCCATTACAAATTTATACCCGTGACATTTTAAACAAGTGCCATTTATACCATGTGTCAACAATTCATTTTTCCTAAATTTGTAATTACAATTTATATTAACCACACAATAAAAAGGTGTGAACAATTTTATTTTTTTCCAAAACATGATTACAAGTCCGATTGCATTTACTAATATAAAGCTAGTAGCCTAGTGCTATGGTGTATCATTGACATAAAAGAATTACAGACAATGTATTTATGATATTTATCACATTAATTATGTCTGCAGATTTGATCATCAGAGAACACATGACTCTGTACAAATGTTGATTGATACATCATTATATGTGTGTGTATATATATATTGATGAAAAAACACGAAACTTTGCATTGCACATTCGATAATAAGTTATACTCGATAATAAGTTATGCAGTAAAATATATAGAAATAAAAATAGAACTCTTTTAAAAAGAGCCTACATATAAAGAAAAATCAATCTCCATGAAAGAAGGAAATCTCTCTACAAAGAGACATGATTGCAACACAAAAAGATAAAGTAAAAATAAAATAAATAAAATATCAACACAACAATTACCTCTAAACAAATACTACTAATCACCCTCACGATCCGTTCATTATTGCAACGGTAGCTATGGGACCTTCATTACCGCTTTGACGTAATAAAATAAAATATTATGGATCTAAGGCGGTCGCTTGCTTATAAAAACTTGTTTATCATTGTCAAATCTTAGTCATGAATCTAATTGAGATTATACTGAATGTAATGTTGTAATAATTATTTATTTTTATCATCTTATTTTATTATCTAATATGTTAGTTTAGTTGTCAATCATATATTAGAGTTATATTTGAGTAGTGAGATTACATTAATGTTGTGTTGATAAGGATAATATCATACAAAAATATGATAAATATAACTAGTATTATTATTTAATTTAGCATTTAAATTATCATTACTACATTAATTTAAGGAAAAATTGGTGAAAAGCCCATCCCAAAGGGGTATAAGACAAATTGTGTCCTTTTAACCCCAACAGATTAGCGTTTGAGCCTAATGATCCAAAAGATTCATAAATAGATTTATGACCCCAGTGACCTTAATTTAATAGATTTCATAATTTATATATATTTTTAATATAATAATGACTACTCATATAACAAATTAAATTTGATATAAAAATATAGGAAAAGATTATGGTACACGCCCTCTCAAATGGTGTGTACCATATGCACCTTATAACTAAAAAAAAATTGACATAATTTCATACTTTTTGAGTAAAAAAAAAAAAGGAAAAAAAAAGTCATAACCAAACACTACATGAGGCATAACCAAAAATCTCATGAGTCATAACTAAAATGTTGTCTTAATTAAAAAAGAAAATTGGTAATAACTAAAAATAAAAATGATATAACTAGGAATGCATATGATATATCCCTTTCAAGGAGGTGTATAGTAGAATTTCCCAAAAAGTAATTATTCTAAAATTTATTGATTCATAGAATAACTACAAAAAGACAAATAGAATAAAGAAAAAATTACCTATCAGTGGTACTATTAGAAAATTATTACATATTCTTGAAAAAGTTTATAATTTTAATCATTAATATGCATAACATTTATCATTTATTTATAATCTTTTTTAAAAAATCTACACATAATTAAAATTTCTCCTAAAATAAAAGTAAATGATAGAACCTATAGAGGGACAAAGTGGAGTTAGACTATTGTTAGATTTGTTTTCAGAAGTAGAATGGTGGGAATTAATAGTGAGAGGATTGTTAACGAATGGATTGATAGTGAGGGGGATTAAGTGAAATTGTGTTTGTTTTTATGATAGTTATTAAAGTGGAGATTGTTAAATTATTTTTGTATAAGATAATTGTAAAACAAATAAAAACCATGGTTTTTACTTAACAAAAAATAGAAAACATTAAACATTAATGTTCAAAATGTGCTGCCCAACAAGTAAAAATAATAATAAAAAAAAAATTGCACTTGGCCGGTTCAGTGGCCAAACATTCGACTGGATGATCGGTAACACTCTAAGCCAAATGGACTATTTTCTATTGCCATCTCCCAGCTCAGACTCCTAATCCGTTCACCCAAGGCCTTTCGTAGTCCGAAGGGGACTATGAATCCAGAGCTCACTTTGCAAAATAAACATGATATTATTTTATTGTAATCCTCACTAACAATTCACCACGAGCTGCTATAACCGGAAACAAATGGGCCCAAGTGATAATATGGATGTATGTGATGGTTGCATTAACAAGTGAGGAGAGAAAAAGTGAAAAGTAAGAGATTAGAAAAGAAATGGATAGGGAGACTGATGCGTAGTGCCTGCACATGTATTTATTTATTTAGATAAATTGCATTTACACTCTTGAGGTTTGCTTTTAATATAAATCCCTCCCTCACATTTCAGAAATCACACTAAACCTCCTGTCAATTTTTTTCACTTAACAGAAGTTGCAAAAAAAAAAAAAATGTGTAAGAACTATAATACCCTCTATTGAAGATAGCAGGTAAAGATATTACTTCACATAGGACATAGCAGGTAAAGATATCAAAAAGCACAACTACTTGCACATAATGTGCAGAATTCACAATAGGGTTCACCTTCCAAATAATCATGTATCCTTGTTTGTGTGTTGGTTCAAAGGTAACTCAGGTATATCACATGAGTCTGATTGAGTCACATAAAGAAATAAGGTGCTATTATTTCATGAGTGCATATAAATCAATTCCCATTGGTACTATTAAGATTCTCATTGAGCAGGCTTCACAAAACTAGACTGATGACCATATAATATTTACCAACTATTATGTTTAGAAACTTCTCTCAATAATTTGAGCACTACTGTTATATGATCCCAATAATATAAAACAAGATATAGAAAGAAAAAGTGATGTACAATGTAATGGTAAGCTAACCATCATAAAGAGGTAACAATCAACAATGACTAATTTGTTAAATTGAAAAGTATTCTCAATATAGCATGTAGAAGTGTCATGATTGAAATGGAATATGTGAAGTCTACCAAATGCAATTAACACCATCACCAAAAAGTCCTAGTCCACAACACTTCTCCATAAAAGATGTTGCAAAATAAAAAGTTGAGTTTAATGTCAAAAAGGGAGTCTATATGTAAAATTAATTTTACAAAGCACAGCCTCCCTAAAAGATTTGTTGGCTCAACTATTTTGGTATTTTTCTTCAATTTTTTAAATGGTTCTACAAAGTTGGTGGCACAACAATCCCAATCCAATTATATGAATAAATAAAAAACCAAATAATTGAAAAAATGTACCTATAGCAGTTCATTCTCTCAAGAGGCTTTCCAATGCCGAAGTTGTTCTGCCTTTTGTTTTATCTTTTGTTGTAGTTGAACCTATAACCTCAGAAAAAATTAGCAACATGCACTAAAAATAAGATAAAGAATATAAAGGTGATCAAACAAAACATAATCCAACCTTTTGGGCCTTGATGAATTGAATTTCTTCTTGCAACAGTTTTGCTGCTTCATCACTCTTCTGCTTTTGCTGTAAAAGCTGAACGTGGTTCTCTTGTTTCTTTTTAAGATCCTGAATCTGATGTGTATAAATGTGGATAAATTTTTATTAGAATAAATTATCATAAGGAAGATGCTTCTAATCTAAAACTAATAGCATCTTAACTAAAATTATCACTTGTGCCTCAGGTGCTTTTAATTTCTGTGCATGAATAACTACTTGAAATTTTTGTGTTTGTTGGTCATTATTACACTACAAGAAATTGCACTTTTGGCGATTAAAATTTTAGTCACCAAAAGCCTATTTTTTAGTTGCCAATCACTTTTGCCAACTAATATATTTGGTCGCCCATTTGGTCACCAATAGCATTGGGGAAACAATCAGCGACTAAAATTTTTTTGGTAGCCAAAAATGATCTATTGGCGACTAAAACTTTAGTCGCCATATATTTTTTAAAAATAATTAAATATATATATTTTTACTTTTAACGACTAAATTATTTAGTAGCTAATTGAACATGTATGTTTGGCGACTAAATGTTTGGTAGCCAAAAGTTTCCTTTTTACAATTGTGGCCAAAAAGTTTAGTAGTCAAAAAGTTTCACTTTTTCACAATTGACGACTAAAATTTGGTAGCCAAAAGCCAACATATGATATTTGTTTAGTCGCCAAAAGGTCTCATTTCGTTTTTATAATTTGTTCTGTAATATTTTTTGCGCCACCTGAAACCTATGCATATACAAAATTATTCATCCGTTCATTCATTCATTCAATTATCAACCATTTAATAAAAATATTTCTCTACAACCTGTAGCATTCAATTTCCAACCATATACAAAATTTAACTATTAAAAAACATTCAAATGCCTTATTTCAACAAAATGTAATAAGCAGTGAAGAATAGAGACATAGACAATGTAATAACCCTCAACCATCCTTAGCCCTTTGATCTCTTAGTTGCTCAAGCTCTTCAATCAACACCGTCAAATTTCTATGAGATGATCCACCTTCTTTAACAGCTTTCAATGCCATCTCTCCCAGCACTTTAGCCTTCTCTGTCATCATCACCGCCGTCCATCACCCTCTTCACAGCAGCCTCTATATTTTCTCTCCTCACCACATTCTTTCCAGCATCAATCCACAAGTTCCAATCCTTCTTAATTATTGTATTGGAACTGTCAAAAGAAACATTACAAACATTGCGGAATGAATTTGACTGATTCATAAAAAAAATTATGAGAGGCCAACAATTTCAAAAAACATTCATAAAAATTCATAAAAATTTCAAACAAGTGAAAAACATTCATAAAAATTTCGAACAAGCCCAACAATTTCTAACAAGTGAAAAATAATTTGTTAAACACATAAGCTGCAAACAAATATAACAAAATAAAAGAGATAACATTTTTTTTTGATCTGCAAATGAATAAAACAAAATAAAACGGGATAAGTGCTCTAAGCATCATAGAAGGAGCTTAGATCCTAACTAGAGTGGCACCAAAAGCCACTACCCAATCATCGGCAGGAAAATCCCATTAAACCAGCAAACTAGTGGATGAGAATTCAACCAAAACATACCAGCCACAATACAAAACACTAACAACAGCCACAAAACAAAGCCCTAACAGCAGCAACAGAGCCCAGAAACAATCAACGACTCCCAATGCAATCCAACATGAAGCCTAAGTCATTGACTGAATAAGACAAGCTTTTCTTGTTATATTTTACCCAAAGGCCATGTTTGATTCCACAAGACTAATAGTGAGATATTAATAATCCTATCAAATTAGTGTGGTATTCGCAATCCCACCCGTACCCCATTACTAATAATCCTACAAATTTGTGAGATTAATTATCCATTGGATTAATAATCCTAAAACAAAATGTCAAAACAAACATGGGATAATTGGGCCCACGGATTAATAATCCCAATCCCATGCTCTAATCCTTCCAATCAAACATGCCGAAAGAGTAATATTCACTTTGATGGATGCAATATTAGCTAACATAGCTTCAACTTCTATGCCATCAAAGGCCCCATTCTATAGGTGTTGGCATGTCATGCATATGTTCATCAATAAAGCTATATCAACTAGTACCTAGGTAACCAGAGCACTCTCTGATATGCTTCAAATTAAATAAAAAGTCATCAATTGAATACACTAGACCCCTAGGAAGCACGGATACAGATACGGGATACGGATACGATATGATACGGATACGGTGATATGGCAAAATTTGAAAAACTAGGATACGGATATGGCGGGGATACGTTCGTAAAAAATATTATTTTTACAATTTTTAATAATGCAGTATGCATAAAAATAAAACCTAAAGCAAAAGACAACTTGATAAAGAAGAAAGATTCCTATAAAACTAAAAGTCTTCAAGGTCAATAGCTTCAACTTGTTCCCCCTCATCAGTGAATATAACAGGACATTAGCTAAAGCCAAAAAACCATTCTTAAGTAAAAAATTCAGCAAATATACTTTTTTAAGTCATCAATGATAACCTAGGAAGCATAGGTACAGATATGGCGATATGGGGATATGGATATGGCGATACGTCAAAATTTAGAAAAGTATGATACGGATATGGCAGGGATACGTCCGTAAAAAAAATATTTTTATAATTTTAATAATGTAATATGCATAAAAATAAAACTTAAAGTAAATTAATAAATAAAGAGAGGGATTCCTATTAACCTCGAAGTCTTTTTTGGGCGAGTTAACCTCGAAGTCTTCAAACATTCATAAAACATCCAAAACTAAAAGTAAAAGCAAATGCAAATGCAAATGCAAATGTAAATTAAATATCATCCTTACACGCCACAACACCAAAGAAAGAATGACCAGAGAGAAAAAACGTGAGAGAGTGAGAAAGCAAGAGAGAAGTGAGGGAGACAATAAGGATACATCAATTTGATAAATTCTATTACTTTAACTCTCACTATATTCCTCTTATTAAATAACTAAACAAAATATTATAAGTAATATATAACTTCGAGTATCCGATACTTCAAAATTAATAAAAAATTAATTAAGAAGTATCCAATACTTTTAAGAAATATCCGATACGTATCCGCGAGTATCCAAGGAGTATCGGTATCCGATAAGTATCCGATACGGATACGTCTCCCTTTTTGAAATATCCGTGCTTCATAGCTAGACCCTTATTTATGAGTTTAATCCCTTTAGCAATTTGGTTGAAAGCTAACCTTATAAAGATTTCTTTGTCAATGTATCTCAATAGTGAATGCTGAAAAAATGTTACATAATAAATGGGATTGTTGGCATGACAATGGTACAAACAATGGCCCACAACCCCCTCCCTTCCCTAAAAAATAAAAATAAAAAATGACAAAGAGAAGGCATCATTCTCATATGACCATTTTCAAACTGTTTACCAATTCCTACCCTTTTTCCAAACAAGTAATTAAAAGTGAGTAATGGTCCATCTACTTAACATCTTACTAACAATCCTACTAAAAACATTCACGTCCAAATATTATTGGTGGTTTAAATATTATTACTTTTTTGACAACCAATCACATTTGAGCATTTATAATTTTAGTAAGATTGTTAGTATGCATAGAATTATTCATTAGAAACCAAGAAGCCAAATTAGAAATCAAAATCAATTAAAACCCATAAATTAAGTTCCTAAATACATAAAACAAGCTATGAAATTTATATTAACAATTCCACCTTCAAATGGACAAAACCCCAACTTATACCTAAATCTAACCCATCTTCCCATATCATGAACTTATCTATACAAACATGAAATCAGTTTTTCTTCATTAAATTAGGCCATCAATTTTCCTTCGAAAATGATATATATATACACGTATATATGGGACCTAATTAAAAAGAAAACCATAACCTAAAAAAATTATTGATTCTGTTACTTTAATTTGTCCAAAATCTATACACAATCATAGTTCTGCGATGACCAGACTATATGAAGCAACTTTAACTTTTCAAAGAAAAATAAATAAATTCAACTTTACCTTTTATTTGTTTATTTATTATATATATATTGACTATTAAGCCTCCTTCTCATGTAACTAAATGACAAACAAATTAACCAAAACTGGTAGAGTTTTCTCAGCATTTCTTGGAGTGAATTTCCTATGCTTTGAAAACCAAAACCCACAAAACAGAAAATAAAATTAAAAATTTTCTAAAACATTTCAGTTCAGTTAACAAAAGTGCAATAAACATATTCAAATTGACAACTAGCTTGTAGCCTAAAAAACAAGCTAGCTAAGATAATGAAATGATAAACATAACAATGACAGATTGCCTAGTTATCAACCAATTTTCCCCACCTCATGGGATCTAAATATAGCGATATACCATCATAGCTATTATGGGGATAAATTTGAAGGAAGCTAGGCCAAAAGAGAAGGTTAACTCTCAAGAGAAAACATAATTGGAAGGGAAAAAAAATTAAAATTTTAATTTTCAATAACTGTGGTCTGAAATAGCAGCTACTAACATTAGGCCCTCAAATTGTATATGAATAAATGGATACATGGACTAGCCACATGCAAGAGGAGTCAACTGTTATTCATAACTCATTAATGATGTAGTCGATTGATCAATTCAAGTAATGGAAAATTTTAACCTAGAAACGTAGATGATGATCATTAAAAGAAAATTAGAATCAAAACTGACCTCCCAGCAAACAAATTGATATGTAAGAAAGAACAATTTAACCGGGTTTGCCACTACTTCCAGTTCCAAACTATTAATTACTTCACATAGGACATAGCAGGTAAAGATATCAAAAAGCACAACTACTTGCACATAAGGTGCAGAATTCACAATAGGGTTCACCTTCAGAATAATCATGTATCCTTGTTTGTGTGTTGGTTCAAAGGTAACTCAGGTATCTCACATGAGTCTGATTTAGTCACTTAAAGAAATAAGCTGCTATTATTTCATAAGTGCATATAAATCAATTCCCATTGGTACTATTAAGATTCTCATTGAGCAGGCTTCACAAAACTAGACTGATGACCATATAATATTTACCAACTATTATGTTTAGAAACTTCTCTCAATAATTTGACCACTACTGTTATATGATCCCAATAATATAAAACAAGATATAGAAAGAAAAAGTGATGTACAATGTAATGGTAAGCAAACCATCATAAAGAGGTAACAATCAACAATGACTAATTTGTTAAATTGAAAAGTATTCTCAATATAGCATGTAGAAGTGCCATGATTGAAATGGAATATGTGACGTCTACCAAATGCAATTAACACCATCACCAAAAAGTCCTAGTCCACAACACTTCTCCATAAAAGATGTTGCAAAATAAAAAGTTGAGTTTAATGTCAAAAAGGGAGTCTATATGTAAAATTAATTTTACAAAGCACAGCCTCCCTAAACGATTTGTTGGCTCAACTATTTTGGTATTTTTCTGCAATTTTTTAAATGGTTCTACAAAGTTGGTGGCACAACATTCCCAATCCAATTATATGAATAAATAAAAAACCAAATAATTGAAAAAATGTACCTATAGCAGTTCATTCTCTCAAGAGGCTTTCCAATGTCGAAGTTGTTCTGCTTTTTGTTTTATCTTTTGTTGTAGTTGAACCTATAACCTCAGAAAAAATTAGCAACATGCACTAAAACTAAGATAAAGAATATAAAGGTGATCAAACAAAACATAATCCAACCTTTTGGGCCCTGATGAATTGAATTTCTTCTTGCAACAGTTTTGCTGCTTCATCACTCTTCTGCTTTAGCTGTAAAAGCTGAACGTGGTTCTCTTGTTTCTTTTTAAGATCCTGAATCTGATGTGTATAAATGTGGATAAATTTTTATTAGAATAAATTATCATAAGGAAGATGCTTCTAATCTAAAACTAATAGCATCTTAGCTAAAATTATCACCTGTGCCTCAGGTGCTTTTAATTTCTGTGCATGAATAACTACTTGAAATTTTTGTGTTTGTTGATCATTATTACACTACAAGAAATTGCACTTTTGGCGATTAAAATTTTAATCACCAAAAGCCTATTTTTTAGTCGCCAATCACTTTTGCCGACTAATATATTTGGTCGCCCATTTGATCACCAATAGCATTGGGGAAACAATCAGCGACTAAAATTTTTTTAGTAGCCAAAAATGACCTATTGGCGACTAAAACTTTAGTCGCCACATATTTTTTAAAAATAATTAAATATATATATATTTACTTTTAACGACTAAATTATTTAATAGCCAATTGAGCATGTATGTTTGGCGACCAAATGTTCGGTAGCCAAAAGTTTTCTTTTTACAATTGTGGCCAAAAAGTTTAGTAGCCAAAAAGTTTCACTTTTTCACAACTAACGACTAAAATTTAGTAGCCAAAAGCCAACATATGATATTTGTTTAGTCGCCAAAAGGTCTCATTTCGTTTTTATAATTTGTTCTGTAATATTTTTTGCGCCACCTGAAACCTATGCATATACAAAATTATTCATCCATTCATTCATTCATTCATTCAATTATCAACCATTTAATAAAAATATTTCTCCACAACCTGTAACATTCAATTTCCAACCATATACAAAATTTAACTATTAAAAGACATTCAAATGCCTTATTTCAACAAAATGTAATGAGCAGTGAAGAATAGAGACATAGACAATGTAATAACCCTCAATCATCCTTAGCCCTTTGATCTCTTAGTTGCTCAAGCTCTTCAATCAACACCGTCAAATTTCTATGAGATGATCCACCTTCTTTAACAGCTTTCAATGCCATCTCTCCCAGCACTTTAGCCTTCTCTGTCATCATCACCGCCGTCCATCACCCTCTTCACAGCAGCCTCTATATTTTCTCTCCTCACCACATTCTTTCCAGCATCAATCCACAAGTTCCAATCCTTCTTAATTATTGAATTGAAACTGTCAAAAGAAACATTACAAACATTGCGGAATGAATTTGACTGATTCATAAAAAAATTTATGAGAGGCCAACAATTTCAAAAAACATTCATAAAAATTCATAAAAATTTCAAACAAGTGAAAAACATTCATAAAAATTTCAAACAAGCCCAACAATTTCTAACCAGTGAAAAATAATTTGTTAAACACATAAGCTGCAAACAAATATAACAAAATAAAAGAGAGAACATTTTCTTTTTTTTTGATCTGCAAATGAATAAAACAAAATAAAACAGGATAAGTGCTCTAAGCATCATAGTAGGAGCTTAGATCCTCACTAGAGTGGCACCAAAAGCCACTACCCAATCATCGGCAGGAAAATCCCATTAAACCAGCAAACTAGTGGATGAGAATTCAACCAAAACATACCAGCCACAATACAAAACACTAACAACAGCCACAAAACAAAGCCCTAACAGCAGCAACAGAGCCCAGAAACAATCAACGACTCCCAATGCAATCCAACATGAAGCCTAAGTCATTGACTGAATAAGACAAGCTTTTCTTGTTATATTTTACGCAAAGGTCATGTTTGATTCCATAAGACTAATAGTGAGGTATTAATAATCCTATCAAATTAGTGTGGTATTCACAATCCCACCCCTACCCCATTACTAATAATCCTACAAATTTGTTAGATTAATTATCCATTGGATTAATAATCCTAAAACAAAATGTCAAAACAAACATGGGATAATTGGGCCCACGGATTAATAATCCCAATCCCATGCTCTAATCCTTCCAATCAAACATGCCGAAAGAGTAATATTCACTTTGATGGATGCAATATTAGCTAACATAGCTTCAACTTCTATGCCATCAAAGGCCCCATTCTATAGGTGTTGGCATGTCATGCATATGTTCATCAATAAAGCTATATCAACCAGTACCTAGGTAACCAGAGCACTCTCTGATATGCTTCAAATTAAATAAAAAGTCATCAATTGAATACACTAGACCCCTAGGAAGCACGGATTCAAATACGGGATACGGATACGATACGATACGGATACGGTGATATGGCAAATTTGGAAAAACTAGGATACGGATACGGCGCAAATACGTTCGTAAAAAATATTATTTTTACAAATTTTAGTAATGCAGTATGCATAAAAATAAAACCTAAAGCAAAAGACAACTTGATAAAGAAGAAAGATTCCTATAAAACTAAAAGTCTTCAAGGTCAATAGCTTCAACTTGTTCCCCCTCATCAGTGAATATAACAGGACTTTAGCTAAAGCCAAAAAACCATTCTTAAGTAAAAATTTCAGCAAATATACTTTTTTAAGTCATCAATGATAACCTAGGAAGCACGGGTACAGATATGGCGATATGGGGATATGGATATGGCGATACGTCAAAATTTAGAAAAGTATGATACAGATACGGCGGGGGGACGTTCGTAAAAAAAAATATTTTTATAATTTTAATAATGTAATATGTATAAAAATAAAACTTAAAGTAAATTAATAAATAAAGAGCGCGAGATTCCTATTAACCTCGAAGTCTTTTTTGGGTGAGTTAACCTCAACGTCTTCAAACATTCATAAAACATCCAAAACTAAAAGTAAAAGCAAATGCAAATGCAAATGCAAATGTAAATTAAATATCATCCTTACATGCCACAACACCAAAGAAAGAATGAGCAGAGAGAAAAAACGTGAGAGAGTGAGAAAGCAAGAAAGAAGTGAGGGAGACAATAAGGATACATCAATTTGACAAATTCTATTACTTTAACTCTCACTATATTCCTCTTATTAAATAACTAAACAAAATATTATAAGTAATATGTAACTTCGAGTATCCGATACTTCAAAATTAATAAAAAATTAATTAAGAAGTATCCAAAACTTTTAAGAAATATCCGATACGTATCCGCGAGTATCCAAGGAGTATCGGTATCCGATAAGTATCCGATACGGATACGTCTCCCCTTTTTGAAGTATCCGTGCTTCATAACTAGACCCTTATTTATGAGTTTAATCCCTTTAGCAATTTGGTTGAAAGCTAACCTTATAAAGATTTCTTTGTCAATGTATCTCAATAGTGAATGCTGAAAAAATGTTACATAATAAATGGGATTGTTGGCATGACAATGGGACAAACAATGGCCCACAACCCCTCCCCTTCCCTAAAAAATAAAAATAAAAAATGACAAAAAGAGAAGGCATCATTCTCATATGACCATTTTCAAACTGTTTACCAATTCCTACCCTTTTTCCAAACAAGTAATTAAAAATGAGTAATGGTCCATCTACTTAACATCTTACTAACAATCCTACTAAAAACATTCTCGTCCAAATATTATTGGTGGTTTAAATATTATTACTTTTTTGACAACCAATCACATTTGAGCATTTATAATTTTAGTAAGATTGTTAGTATGCATAGAATTATCCATTAGAAACCAAGAAGCCAAATTAGAAATCAAAATCAATTAAAACCCATAAAGTAAGTTCCTAAATACATAAAACAAGCTATGAAATTTATATTAACAATTCCACCTTCAAATGGACAAAACCCCAACCTATACCTAAATCTAACCCATCTTCCCATATCATGAACTTATCTATACAAAACATGAAATCAGTTTTTCTTCATTAAATTAGGCCATCAATTTTCCTTCGAAAATGATATATATATACACGTATATATGGGACCTAATTAAAAAGAAAACCATAACCTAAAAAAATTATTGATTCTGTTACTTTAATTTGTCCAAAATCTATACACAATCATAGTTCTGCGATGACCAGACTATATGAAGCAACTTTAACTTTTCAAAGAAAAATAAATAAATTCAACTTTACCTTTTATTTGTTTATTTATTATATATATATTGACTATTAAGCCTCCTTCTCATGTAACTAAATGACAAACAAATTAACCAAAACTGGTAGAGTTTTCTCTGCATTTCTTGGAGTGAATTTCCTATGCTTTGAAAACCAAAACCCACAAAACAGAAAATAAAATTAAAAATTTGCTAAAACATTTCAGTTCAGTTAACAAAAGTGCAATAAACAAATTCAAATTGACAACTAGCTTGTAGCCTAAAAAACAAGCTAGCTAAGATAATGAAACGATAAACATAACAATGACAGATTGCCTAGCTATCAACCAATTTTCCCCACCTCATGGGATCTAAATATAGCGATATACCATCATAGCTATTATGGGGATAAATTTGAAGGAAGCTAGGCCAAAAGAGAAGGTTAACTATAAAGAGAAAACATAGTGTGATAGGTGTTAAAAGAGTAACAGAACTTGAAAGTAAAGAGTTGAACATGTAAAAAAGTAAAATTCAATACCTTTCCAAATAGTCTTGGCTGAAAATGAAACTTTTTTCCACCAGGGACATCAATAGTAACACTTCGCTGCACGAAAAAGTTAAATAGAATTGATCAGTCCATCATTAGAAGATAATGAAGCCTTGGAGAGGCAGCTGAAAATTCAAGAATAATGATTGAAAATAGTATTTAACAAGACATAAGAAAAGAAATTGTCTAGTAGATTTGACATACTATCTGTTCTCCGAAGTTGATAGAAACATTTTTTTCTGGTACACCCTTTGCAAATATTGTCACTACCACTTCTTTTGGCTTCTGATAGTATGAATGCTTGTTTAAGTAATCATTGTCAAAAAACTGTATAGAGCTGGGACAGTATCTCCAGAAGCAGAATACTCCATCCAGCATAAAAAAACAATCTAACAGACTAATATTGGTTACAACAAATTAACAGCAATCGAGGAAAATAAATGACGGCATTGGTGCCGACAACAATAGAAGCAAAGATAGTACTGCCATCACAATGGCAGCAGCTGCTAGCATTAACAGCAGTCTAATGATAAAGGCAGCAATTGAAACAACAGATGAAAAAAAAAAAACACTACACTTCTAATGCATATCAGAAAAATAATTCAGTAAAAAAATAAAACTGACCTATAAAAACCGTTAAAGGCTTGTTCTGTTATTCAACATAGAAGTAACACGACATATAGGTATAGGCATGTACATACCTGCAATACTTTCATCACACTCTGTAATCAGTTTGGTGAATCATGAATCATTTTGTGCTAAATAAGTACCCTTTTCTAGTGCTGCCCTGGCAGTATGATATTCTTCAAGCTTAAAGCATGTAGTGCTGAAGAAAAGGGAAAGTTAAAAAATTAATTATTGAAAGGATTGTTTTGAAGAGGGATGTTTGATATCATGCAGTTGCGTGATAGTTAGAATAATATTAATCCACTTCAAGAAAAATCTGAGGGGTATATAATATGCAACTACTTAAATGGAATCAGTTCATATGACAACATAAATGGTCTAGATAAAGTAAACTAAAAAATGCAGGGGGAAAAAAAAAAAAAAAAAAAAGAAGCTTCACAATGGGTATAAAAAGTGAGTTAGATGTGTAGACAACAAAGACAAGGATAAGTAGACAACTACACCAGTTTGCGAAGAATCTTAGCCATTTTGCACAGGAAGCAAAACCAAGGATAGGTAGACAACTAAGACAAGAACTAATTCTGATGGAAGTGATGAGTTATAACTGTGTCTACATGAGTGGGTGAATTTTTCATTTAGGCATTGCATCAAACAGTTGGTGAGCAGAAGGCGCAACAGGCAGCAGAAATTCATGGCAAACCACACATGTATCAGCACAAACCAAACTCAAAACCAGAGAAGCAAAGACAATTTCCCATCAAGTAAACACAATGGAACAAAAAACAAACCACTCCCTTTGCTTTTTATTTTCTTCTTCTATTTTTTCTTTTCTTATTTGAACTCCATCGAATGGGAGTCATAACCCAGTTAATGAAACCACTTCAAACAAACCCATTTCAGAAATGAAGACAAAATTAAACTGAAGGGGTAGAATAAACAACCCTAGAGCAAGAGTTCACAGTTAGGGAAATAGAAGAAGGGGTAGAGAGAGAGCGAGAGAGCCACAGAGCGAAAGGGAGTGAGAGAGCGAACCTGTTAGCGGCGGTGGCGGTGCTAATTTGCGGCGTACGGGGACCAATGGTGTTGAGGATGCATGGTTGTGAGGTTTGATCACCGTGATGTTTGTTGATTTGCGGTGGTGAGGTTTGTGCTGAGAGAGGTTCTGTGGTTGTGGTGTATACACAGAGGGTAAAATTGTGAGACAGAAGCGCGAATCTAAAATTATTCCCTCTATAAAATTTTGAGCTTCCATGGCGAAATGATTTGCTTGTCGGGAAATGTATATAAGTAGTAAATAATTTCATGCCATTTGGCAACTAAATATTATTTTGGTCGCTAAAAATGGTGCAAAAAATCTGACTAAATATTATTTTAGCAAATATTATATACTATTGCCGACTAAAATTGTTTTAATTGCTACAAGTAGTGATTTGGCGACTAAATATTTTGGTCACCAATTAATTTTATAAATCCCTCCAAAATTCGAAATTTTTCCTCCAAATATTTTAATTATTTTAGTCGCTAAAAATAAATTTTTTGCGACCAAACTTTTGGTTGCCAAAAGTCTGAAAGTAAATTTTTGTTTTTTATTCGGCGACTAAAAAATTTTAGCAGCCAAAACTATTTATACAGTGACAAACATTTTTTAGTCGCCAATTGTAGCATTTTTAGCGACTAAAATTTTTTTTTAGTGGCCAATAATCAATATTTCCTGACGAAAAAAAATTAGTAGCTAAATATTGTACTTTTGCCGACTAAAAAAATTTTTGGTCACCAATTCCACAAGTTTTGGCATCAAAATTTTATTTTAGGCGCCAAATTTGGTCACCAAAAGTGCATTTTGTTGTAGTGCAGTGAGATTTTCAACTTTAGCCAACAAACGATCCCATTATTGATGCATAGATAAAGCAACTGAAAAAGTGAACATCAACTTTCAAGGTCATGAAGACTAAGGGATATATACAAGAAGCTTATATTAACCTGAACAATTCTTTTCTCATCCTCAAGTTCCACGATTTTCTTTCCAAAGCGTAGTTTAAGGGCTACTCTGTCAGATCCTCCAAAAAGTTTCATCTCCGACTGTGATGCCCCAAAAATCAAAAACATCAGAGAATATATTAGCAAATAAATACAGAGTTTATCTAAAGTTACAAGAGTAGAAAACGTCACTAATGAGTCATTTGGTTAATAACCAAGTAAGATTCCAGGAAGATTGGAGGAATCAATATAGCCTCCCTTCAAAGTCCAACCACCTTAGATAGCAAAGCTACCCTTTTGACAGATCATAATAAGGTATTAACACAAGATCTACATGAGTCGACAAGAAAATAAAAAAATAAGTACTCCCTCCGTCCCAAAATATTAGTCCCTTATTCCATTTTTCATTGTCCCAAAATATTAGTCCCTCTTCAAAAATCAAGTACAAAAATAATATAAATTTCCTATTTTACCCTTCTTTTAAATTAATAAACAACATAAAAAGTACAATTATGCATTGATATTCCCAAAAAATGTACTATCAAAAGGATAATTTTGAAAAATCAACTTTTTTCAAATGCAATAATTGTACTACCAAAAAAAGTTGGATTCCCTAAAAGGGACCATTATTTTGGGACGGAGGGAGTAATACAAAAGATATGTATAGATATATAATAATTACAAAATCATGTCTTAAATACAACAAGTGATTTGTCACTTACAATCTCAAAACGTGTTTACAAAACTAGTTTCTAATTCTCCTAGGGTAGTTGTACATCCTCAAATGCTTTAGCCTTACCTTTAACCGGTTTAATAGTCTTTGATACTTGGCATGAAACGCCATGAGTTTTGAATGTCTCACATACCCTGTCCATTTTTTACCAACCTAATACACCATCATAATTATAACAAGTAATGAAACATGATATTCATATCAATAACAAAGGATTACAAGGTTAGATGTTAGTAATTTAGAAATCTCCCAAACAGATTTCATCCTCCCAACTATAAGGATTGGACACCGGACTATTCGAAACGCCCCATTTTGCTGCTTTGCAGAACTTACCATGGATGCTTACAACGATTATATTCCGCGCAACACCATTGATGGACCTCACAAAGGACGGCGAAAAGAAAAAGGTTTTATCATCCTGAATCCAACCTTATCCTTCCGAAAAAAGTTCTATCTTCCTGAATGTCCTATCTAGACCCAACCTTATCTCACCAAATCAAACCATCGCAAAAAGTCTGAATACGTCCGTTCCATACTATGGTTCACGCGATAACCGCTTGTGCAAGACTTAACCTTTAGTTAGGGAACACCTATGAAGCACGGACACAGACATGGATACGGACACAGACACGACAATTTTCAAAAAAATGGGGACACAGACACAACGGGGGACACGACGAATTTTATTTTATTTATTTTATATATTTTTGTGTTATGTAGATTCATATTACATTCATACCAGTCAGGGTATTCATACCAGTCAGTGTACATTCATATTAGATTCATATTACATTCATACCAGTTAGGGTATTCTTTCGTTAACTTATTTTTGAATTAGGTCAGTATGGAATCAATGTCCAATTCACGATTCAAAATTCAATCATTCTCAAATTCAATCAAACAAAATTGTTTTCAAACTCAAAGTGATATGCCAGTCACGCCAATGATGAGCAAAAAAGAAACTGATTTTATTAAAGTCAGGGAAGGACATCCCCGATTACCGAGACGACAAAAAAAACAAAAAAAAAGAAAACAACAAAAAAAAACCCAGAAATACAAAAAAAAAAAAAGAAAAAAAGAAAAACAAGCAGCCCAGAAAAATAAAAGAAAAAAAGAGAGATCTCTTGTTTTGTTTCCAGTGACGGCCACACGCCGACTTCACTTACTCGGCTCTTCCGCCAAACTCTTCTTTTTTTGTCGTCGACCCTTGAAGGCCCTGCCTCAGTGCTTACAGGACCACCGAGAGGGTTGACTCCCTGTTGGTCGTCAAAAGCAAAGTACGAAGGTGCTCCAAATCGGGCCATGATGGTGGCTTTCCATTTCAACTCTTTGTTCTCCACCTTTAGCACGCAAATCTCCGCTCGCGCATCTTTGTACATGCATTGGAGTAGAGCGAGTTGGGAGTTCAACTATTGTACCTCACATGTCCTATTTTGTAGCCGGTGAGACAACTTGGAGACCGTAGTCATTGTCTCCATGCAGGACTTCAACGTATAATGGTTGGCCCCAATGTCAGATTGAGCTGCCATTATTTGCTCAATTGATAGCAAAGGAAAGTTAAGAGGAGCAAAAGTAGGAGCAGGAGTACTCGGTCCAGCAGAACTTATGGGATCGTTCAGGTCCGGAAACAGAGTAGGGACAAGATGAGGAGGCCATATGTTAAGAGGTTAGAGGTGAGAGATGTAAAAGAAAGAAAAAGAGTCACAGAGAAATAGCAGAGAACAGACTAGTTGTGGCAACCTTTCTACTTCACTCTGTCTCTCTATTCTGTCTCTCGATGAGGAAGAATGAGAAGAGAGTGATGAAGAAAAAGGAGACAAAAGAGAGTGATGAAGAAGGAGATGGAAGAGAATGAGGAAGAAGAAGAAGAAGTGAGTGATTAAGTAGAAGACGGAAGATAATGATTCAGAAGAAGGCAGAAGAGAAGAAGACAAAGAAGGAGAGAGAGCCGAGGCAATCGGTAATCGAGGAGGTCTGCTTTTGTCGGCTAGCCGACGCAAAAGCAAGGCCGCGTGTCAAACGCGGTTTTCGAAGGAAGAGAAAGACGCGGGAGAGTTGTATGTGTATGTAGATTCATATTACATTCATCCTAAATTAAAATTAACAAACACTAACATAGTAACATTAATTGAATAAACATAACCATTACATTAAACAAATTAATAGATCATCCATTCACAAAAAATTCACAAAAAAGTCATAACAAACGATAACAAAAACTAAGACGAGAAGGGAAAAACATTCAACATCCAATAATATTTTTCACAAAAGGACTAAATAAGAGAGGCAAAAGATAAAAAAAATAATAATAATCCTGCCGTGTCCCACGCCGTGTCCCCGCCGTGTCCCGCGTCGTGTCTCCATATGGACACGCGTGTCCCCACCGTGTCCCTGCCGTGTCCCATACAAAAAAATCATTAAATTAAAGGGACACGCCATCTGGCGTGTCCCATACGTGTCCCCGTGTCGAATACCGCCACGGCACCAATTTTGGAGCGTCCATGCTTCATAGGGAAACACATCCTATCAATCCATACTTAACACGTTATCATCTCTTCATTATTCAAGTGATTGAAAACCCAATACCAACCCAATTAAGTTTTCCGTCAAATTAGATGTCTTAAATTAAAGTTAGATTAACTTAACAAGATAGTAATATCCACATAAGCATGAGCATTATCAATTGAATAAGATAAGGAACATAACCATAACACATGCAAATCTTACCAAGATATGAACAAGTGATAATAAACACACCATGTAGTCAAGAACAAAAATTTACCAAAAAAAGTAAATTTCTAAATTTGGTGCACTTTAAAGATTGCAATTGAAGAGGCATTTCTAGATTTTTCCTATACTTGGCCTTCCTATGGTTTGCAGAATTTTATCTAATTTTAAAAACATGTTTCAAAGTGGCATAGCTATCCTAGATTTTTAATTATTCAAAAAATACTCCAGTGCTACCCAGATTCATCGACTGTTACGAAAACAGGGTTTTCTCTCAAACCGCTCACTCTTTTTCCATGAAAGCTAACACTTAAAGGAAGCTTTTGACATAAAAATGAAGTTAAGGAGATTTTTCTAAATTTTTTTTGGAATTTTCGCAACAGGGCAGAAAAACTGGTTCTTTGAGCACAAAGCTTGAAATAACAAAGAAAGTAAGAAAAGAGGGTAACCATGGATAATTTTTCACTTCTATTGTAATGAAAATATGATAAATAATATTTATTAAACTCAGAAATTTGAATTAAAGGTGTGCCTTTGGAAATTATGAAAGAGAGGTATAGAAAAAAATAGTTTTGCACCGATTAAGAAAAAAACATAAGTGTGGAACAAGGCTCAACTCTTTTAATTTTTAACACAAAAACACCATTAAAACACATCAAAAATTAATGTTTAGAACCTCTAAGAACATGTATTTGAAAAAGAAAAATAAAAGAAAGGGTTGTGTTGCGGCTTACTTGTTGCCTAGCTAGGATATTTGTGTAGATTTAGAGAAGAGAAAGAGTTAAAGAATGAGTTAGACCGCATCCCTTTTTATATAGATAATAATGAGTAATTACAGGAGTGCCACAAGGCACAAATTATGGGCTAGCCCATTACACAAATTAAGGGAAAATAAAATCAAACAATATTATGTCCTATTCTAACACTCTCCCTCAAGTTGGTGTAAAGATATCTCTCATGCCCAGCTTCTTGAGAATGCCATTAAATGGTTTGCTCTCTAGTCCTTTGGTGAGAACATCTACTAGTTGGTCCCCAGTCTTCACAAATAGAATACATATGGTGCCACTAGTGAGCTTTTCCTGATGAAGTGCTTATCAATCTCCACATGCTTAGTTATGTCATGTTGCACTATATTATGAAATGATTGCGGCCTTGTTGTCACAGTATAATCTCATGGAATCGGTCTGCTGGATCCCCAAGTCTCCCAACAATAGTCTAATCCATAGTAACTCATATACACCCTGAGCCATAATCCTGAATTCTGCCTCAACATTAGATCTAGCAACCACATTTTGTTTCTTACTGCGCCACGTGACTAGGTTACTTCCAACAAATGTGCAATATCCTAAAGTTGATCGTCTATCAGTGACTAATCCAACCCAATCCACATTAGTGAATGCTTCCATGCTGAGATGTCCATGTTTTGAGAAATAAAGACCCTTTCCAAGAGAGGCCTTTAGGTATTCCTTCAAACGAGGAATCTCCTCAACATCATCTCCTGTTAGAACAATATCATCAACGTAAACAATAGAGTTGTGGTCTTATCATGTGAGAAGTGTTTCACAAACAAGATATGGTCAGCTTGACTTTACTTGAACCTATATTTCAACATAGCTTGAGCAAACATTTCAAACCAAGCCCTAGAAGACCGCTTTAGCCCATAAATCAACTTTTGGAGCCTGCATACTTTACCTTTAGACATAGCATCTGCAAAACTAAGAGGAATATCCATATAGACCTCCTCTGCTAGGTCTTCATAAAAGAAGGCATTCTTCACATCAAACTGATGAAGTGGCTAATCCGAATTTGCAGCAAGAGAAAGTAAGATTTTCACAGAGTTCATCTTAGCAACCAGTGCAAATGTCTCCTGATAATCTACTCCATAAGTCTGAGCAAAGCCCTTAGCAACCAGTCTTGCTTTGTATCGCTCTATGGAACGATTTTCTTTGTGTTTTATCGCATACACCCACTTACACCCAACTAGATTTTTGCCTCCAGGTAACTCCACTAACTTTCAAGTGCCACTCTTGCTGAGAGCTTTCATCTCTTCCATCATGGCATGTTTTCATTCAAGAATAGAGAAAGCATCCTGAAAATTGGTAGGTAGACTCACAAAAGAAACTTTAGACAGAAAGGCTTTATCTAAGGAAGACAAATTAGAATAAGGGACATGATTAATAATAGGATGCTGAGTACATGCCCTAACCGCTTTCTTATTAGCAATAGGAACTTCAAGATCTAAAAACTCTGGAATAGAAGAACTAGAATCAAAATTACCTGGACTCTCAGGAGAGGGGGTGACTCTGGACACCCATTCGGAGAAGAAGTTGGCAATAGAGAAAGAAAGTAGTCTCTTGTATCCAGGTGACTTGCTGTTTGTCATTGTCCCTAATATAAACTTTGCTTGCTTCCTTTCTTCAACAATTGCTAGCTCATCATCCTTTATCGGTGCAACCACTAGCGGAAGTGGAGCAGGAATCTCTTCACACCAAGGCTCCCCTGGAGAGATGACTGTGATGCTAAGAAAGTCGAAAAGTAAGGCTGAGACTCAAAGAAAGTGACATCCATAGAGATAAGCCATTTGCGAGTGGGAGAATGATAACACTCATAACCCTTTTGGGTGGCAGAATAACCCAAAAAAAACACACTTAAGAGACCTATGATCGAATTTACCACAAGTAGGTGAATGATTATGGACAAAGCAAACATAGCCAAAGGTCTTAAGAGAAATGAAGAACCCGGAAGAAGTAGACCCAAACAAAACTTGAAGAGGTGTTTGTTTTTGAAGGACTTGGGTAGGAAGGCGATTAATCAAATAAGCAGTAGTGAGAACCACTTCCCCCCAATAGGCTCAAGGAACCCGCATCTCAAAGGATAGACAACGGGCGACATCAAGGAGATGGCGATTTTTGCGTTCGGCAATACCATTTTGTTGAGGGGTATTAGTGCATGAAGTCTGGTGAATAATGCCATGAGTGGCGACGTAAGTGACAAGACCAGAGTCAATATATTCCCCTCCATTATCAGAACGTAAAATTTTGACAACCATCCCAAGCTGAGTACAAATCATTTTATGAAAGTTTTGAAACACAGAAAATACCTCACTTATATCTTTCATCAAATAGACCTAAGTGGCCCTGGAACAATCATCTATGAAGGTAACAAACCATTTTTGACCCGTTAAAGACACAAAATAGGAAGGACCCTAGACATCAGAATGAATCAAAAAAATGGAACTAAACTTTTATTAATAGAAGGAGCAAAAGAGGCTATGTGTTGCTTTCTAAGTTGACAAGACTCATATTGAAAATTCGACACATTATTTTTCTCAAAAACAGAAGGAAATAAATGCTTAAGTAATAAAAATGAAGGATGTCCTAAGCGACGGTGCCACAGCTAAACGTCGTCTTTGGTGGATAATAACTGAATAGATGAATGAGCCAGCTTGTTTGTCTGATTCAGAATGTAGAGACCATGTTCCTCTCTACCACTGTCAATCCTCTTCCTCGTGATAAGATCCTGAAAAAGACAATGATCAAGAAAAAAATGTCACGATACAATTTAAGTTACAGGTAATAGAACTCAAAGATAAAAGATTAACACTAATTACAAGACCATGGAAAACAGAGGACAAAGGAAGAGAAGATGTGACTTGAAAGAACATAGAAGTTGGACAACCGCCCCAAACTGAGTATAAACCATTTTATGAAAGTTTTGAAACACAGAAAACACTTCACTTTTATCTTTCATCAAATACCCAAGTGGCCCTAGAACAATCATCGATGAAGATAACAAACCATTTTAGACGGTTAAAGACATAAAACGGGATGAATCCCATACATCAAAATGAATAAAAAAAATGAAACTGAACTTTTATTAATAGAAAGAATAAAAGAGGCTCTGTTTTGTTTTCCATGTCAACAAGACTCACATTGAAAATCTGACACATTATTTTTCTCAAAAACAAAAGGAAATAAATGCTTAAGTAATAAAAATGAAGGATGTCCTAAGCGACGGTGCCACAGCTAAACGTCGTCTTTGGTGGATAATAACTGAATAGATGAATGAGCCAGCTTGTTTGTCTGATTCAGAATGTAGAGACCATGTTCCTCTCTACCACTGTCAATCCTCTTCCTCGTGATAAGATCCTGAAAAAGACAATGATCAAGAAAAACACTTCACGATACAATTTAAGTTACAGGTAATACAACTCAAAAATAAAAGATTAACACTATAATTTGGAACATGGAAGACAGAGGACAAAAGAAGAGAAGATGTGACTTGAATTAAACATTTCCCTAACATAGACGAAATAGTACCATCAGCAATGCGCACTTTTTCCTGACCTGAGGAGGGATTATAATCTGAAAATAAATTATAGGAGCCAGACATATGGTCGGAAGCACCAGAATAAAAAATCCATGGTACAGTCGTATGAGATAGCAATGCACATGGGGAAGAAACCAAGTTATCTGAATTGGCAACGGAAGAAGAGGGTGCACCTGGAACAGAAGTGGAGGCTCGATAATCTAGCAAGTGGCGAAGAGCAATCTCAAAATCCGAGGCAGATAACCCCGAAACATCAGCAGTAGAAGAGACAACTGGGGAAGAAGATGGTGGCTCAACCGTGTCCGAAAGATTGTCCGAGCATTGGCCCCTCAGCCTTTAGACTGACCAGACGTATCCCCTCGAGTACCAGGCTGGTCTCCTCGGCCACCAGAAGGAGGCCCATGCAGCTTCCAACAAGTCTCTCGTGTGTGGCGAGGTCTACGGCAGTAGTCACAGAAAAGATTATCCTTTTCAGATGAAGGACAAGAACCACGAGTCACATGGTCTCCATTGCGAAGAGGTGTAGAAACCAAGGCCGAGTGATCAGTAGTGGCAAAAAGAAGCATCGCAGAGCGGCGACTCTCTTCATTCTGCACAAAAGCAAAGGCTTCCTGGAGACAAGGAAGCACATCCATGCCAAGTACTCTGCTCTGAACCAGATCATACTCCACATTTAAGCCTCCAAGAACTTGAAAACCCGCTCTTGCGCCACAAGCTTCCGGTAATCAACAGAATCAGTGAGACAGACTGGTTTGTAATCCTGAAGGTGATCAAATCGCTTTCACCCATTGCTAAGGAAGGTAAAATACTAAAGGATAGTCATCTTACCTTGTAATGACCTTTCAATGGAGTGACGTAACTCAAAAGCCTAGGAGAAGTTCCCCTTCCCGGAGTAAGTGTTAGTCACGGCTCCCAAATATCTTGTGTAGTGTCTATAGAGTACTTCAATCTCTGAGACCATAGAATGTATCAACCAACCCATAATAAGGGAGTTAATGATCTCCCACTAATCATAACTCGAGTCTATGGTGATGGGTGCCTATATTCTGCCATCAACATACCCAATCTTCCCTCTGCTCTTCAAGAAAATAGTCAGACTCTGCGACCATGCTAGATAGTTCTGACCATTGAATAGAGAAGTGATTTTAAGGCCAGGGTTGAGATTATCAGTCATAGTAGAAGGTATAAGGGAACTCTCACTCTTAGGCGGCTGAGAAGTTGTGGACTCACTAGTGAAATCTGCTATGAATATTCTACTAAGTAACCCTCAAACCTAGTGCCAATCACAAACTCGGAAGATGGTGGAGGAATAGCAAACACTATGACCATAAAGAGATCATCAAAAGAATTAATTTTTTTTTTTAATGTATCATTTTTTTTTTTCAAGGTATCATTTTTTTAAATTTTTTTTTTTTTTTTTACATAACTTAAACGTATGATGTTTGGCAGATTGTGATTTTTTTTTTTCCTTCTTAAAGCCAAGTGAGGCATGAGATGATTGTTTTGATTTTGTCTTTTTCTGAGTTGTCTTAGGTTGATCTGGAGTACGGGAAAGAAATACACCTTCTCGTATAATCCTGTTGACCAAGTCTACGCTCCTCCGTACGACGTCGCCTTATCACCTGAAAACACAAACGTGAGCTAGCCGGCGGGTGTGTGCCGGAAACCTCTCCTATGCCTAAGTCAGCAAACTTGACAAATAGACAAAGCTCTATGAATTCAGAAAGCAAAGTTGTGTGTTACCTCCCCAAAGGTGATGTTTGTGAGCTTTTATAGGTTTCGTGTGGCACAATCACCATATGTTGTAGCATCGGTGATAAACAACCATATGTACAGACCCAGCCCCATCATTGGGCTTATATAAAAATCATTGAAGTTCTACCTCTTTAACTTTAAATGGGTAATCAAAATTAAGCCAACATTTCAATAGACTTTACAAAAATAAATGGCTTCGTGCAGTGCCTGAACCCATGAAGGTTGACAAAAGAAAACAGGTGTCATGACTAGGACTGACCACTTGGTTGGTTACCTACAGAAACAGACATTAGACAGAGTGAGCCAAGCTCAGTGAATAGTAATACATAAACTAAATGATGCTTAAAATGAAACATAACACATAGCAATGCATATAAAGATGTAGAGTTCACATAGTTAGTCTGATTCTGTGCTACGTACATAACGGCCTTGAGTTCAAACCGAATAAATATTTCCTCTTTCCTAATCATTTATTTATGTTGTTTCTTAGCTTACTAATCCATAATAAGTCATAATTCATGACTAAGAATGCCCAGAAAGAGATGAAAATAAAGATAAGAACTCAAAACGTCTTTTGAAAACATGCTGAAAATAAGCTGATGGCCAGAGCCATCTTTTAGGCCAAGTTTGGCTAAACAAAATAAGTGTACTTATTTCATCTTTTTATCTTTTTTGGGTCACATCAATCAACATCTCCTCTCTACTTTTTTTACACATAATACAATAAAAGTTAAAAAGTACACTTATTTAGTCTTCCCAAACTTGGCCTAAGAGCCATAGTTCGCTCGAGCCACAATTTGGTCGCTCGAGCCAACTGTGCAGACTGTAAAAGTACTGGGAGCTCGCAATGTTGGCTTGAGCCACCATTTGGTCACTCGAGCCATCTATGAAATTTCTGGGTTTCAAAATAGAAAGTTTGGCTTCCAAACACAAATTCAAAGCCTTGGGTCATGCATGGCTCATTTAAAAACAGAAAATTGCTTTAGAAAATATATATACTTGACCCCTTAAAAATCATTTGCTCAAAATCTCTTTGTTTCAACCAAAAGTGAACTTAAACCTCCATGCATGCAAGATTTTCTAAACTCTTTTCTCAAAACTCAACTCCAAAGTGTATAAGCTTGCATGTTTGAACCATACTCTTGAAAATATATGGAAATACATATGTATGAGCTCAACTTGAAACCATGAGCTCAAAAGTGTTATGAATTGCCAAAATTGAGATCAAAACTTCTATACATGCATCAATCCAACTTCAATTCCCTTCCAAGACTTTCAAAACATGGAATTAATCTTCAAAACTTCATAATTCATGAATGCATATAAGGTATGATCCTTGATTTAAACATGGATGACAAAAATCATACTCAAAATGATGGAATACAACAAAATTATGCATGCATGCAAGAATTGAATTTACATTCTTCTTCTTAAGCTCATTTCTTTCATTTAATCATGTAATCTTAAATCTCAACACATTGAAGACTCCAATTCACAAATTAAGGTTCAATTACATGCCTAGAGTCCTCAATTGCACCAATTCTAGCAAAAACTTGAGTTGTTCTTCATAATCCTTCAATCTTGCAAGCAATTCCAGGCTTCCAAGCCTTTTCTCTCCCTAAAATCAAGTTTTCTCTCTCTAAAGCTCTCTTTCCCAGCAGATTTTTTAGTCCAAAATGAGTTTAATCACATCTCAACACATATATATACTTGTAATTAACTTAGGCTAATTAAGTAAGCTTAAGGTTAACTAATCCCACTTAATTCTAATTGATTTAAATATAATTAATTTAATCTGAATCAAATTTTAATCAAACTTCTCAGTAAACTCTAAAAATTATGCCAGTCACAATAAACTAACCAATTTCGATTTCGGATGCCTTTAAGGCCTTCAATTTTGGGATTATAATGGAAATGGCAACAGATATTCCTACAATCAATAGATATGAATCAAAAAATCATATTAATCACATATTTAGCACTCAAATTCAAATCAAGCACTAAGCACATACATACTTAAAGAATTATAAGTACAATACGTGACAGGGTCGTCACAGTATCCTAGGGGAAAAAAGTGGCCGGCTATGTGCTCAAGATTTACAGAATTATGTGTACAATTTGATGTAATATTTGTGGACAAAGATTGAATGAAGGTACAAACATATATATATGATTTGATTCTCATGATTTTAGAGAATATTTGATTTGATTCTTATTATAACCTAGGAGATGTTATGATGGTTGGCCATGATGAAGATTTGGAAGGATCCTATTGATTTATTTTGTGTACAATTGCATATTTTATAAAGATCTTCATGTACAAACTTATTTATTTAGAAAAATTGGTACAATTATGCATGCATTACATAGCTATGGGCCATTTCATGGGCCAAAATTCATGTTTCGGGAGAAATTCCATGCATCGGGTATCATTTCGCTTTGTTTCGGGGCTGTTTTGCCCCTCGTTTTGCTACTGATTTTTGCATGTTTGCAGATCATATTCCATGTCTTTGCCATGTCTCATTAGAGTGGCATTTCGGTGCCTGAGGGTCGGTCCTCGGTTTGTGTGCACGCATTTCCAGTTGTCTTGTTTTCATCTGATGGCCTCCTATGTGAGTGTGGCTGAGGCTCTCTCATGTTGGTGTAAGCCCATTATTGCATTGCGTATGCCATTCCATCCATAGCATTGTGTATGCCCGGTTTGTGTATTACCTCGTGCAGCGTGTATGCCATTCCATAACATTGTGTATGTTAGGATTGTATCTTAGTTGCATTTCATGCATGTCATGCATATTGCATCGTGTTCGGGATAGGAGTTAGCCTGGGCACGGGAAACGAGGTACGTTTCGTACTCCGAGTGATGGAACGTGTCTCAATTCACTCAGTCACCGACACTCCATGATGGAGTTAGGTTCTTGTTGTGTTTATATGTGCATTCATTCTGTATTGAATTGCACAATTCGACCCCTCAGCCATCATGCATCGATATGCGTGATTGGTGGCACGAGGATCGAGGCATGCATATATCTGTGAAAATACATTGCCATGCCCCTTTTCTGCTCTCTGTTGCAGCAAAATGAGGAATCAGCAACTTTTTGGAGCTTGGCACGCATTTCAAGAATAGGTGCAAACAGAGGCTAATTGGGGCATCGTCATGGATTTCCGCGCAAAGGCAACCCGGGCATGCATCATTCATCATCCGGAATGGAATCAAGGCAGTCCCTGGCTTGCATGCCAGTTTATTTATTTTCTTAGTTAATTTGTTAAATTAATTAGGAATTTGTACATTATTTGGACTGTATATTTATTTGGACTGTACTATTCTTTGCAATG